ATTGTCTCATGCCAGCATTTCTAATCATTTTAGTTTTGGTTCCCTCTGTGTGACACCTGCAATTCTTTCTTGAAAATGAATTCAGTAAAATATTGATGAGCATATCAAATTGTCATGCCAACCAATCAAATTGTTCTTGTATCTTTGAAGATATTTCTCTTTCCTCCTCCTTTTCCAACAGTGAAATATATTGAAGAAGTCAGAAAAATACAAAGCATTATTAGATTTCACATTAAATTTTCATCAAGAAATTTGTGTCATTCAAGTTCTAAAAACGTTGGGAACGCTTTCAATACCTGGATTACTGTATGCAATTCAAGCTGATATAGTACCTTGTACAAAAGGTAAAATATATTTAATTAATAAGGTGAAATGGGCCAGATATTCTCCATCGTCTCCTTTCTGGGTTGCAGCAAAGTTTAATGTTACTGAACTAGCAAACCGTGATAACTGCAAAGTGTTGTTTGTCACACAAGGTAAGGAAGAATGAAATTGCACTATAGATAAAAGTGAAGGGGGAAAAAAGTGCCCATGTGTCCAAAGCTTATTCCAGAATTAGTATGGTTAATTTCTGCTTCCTGTTTATAGTTAACTGTGGATATTCAAAGTAATAACTATAATCAATGTGCTTTCAAGACCATAAAACTCTGTTGGGGTTACAGTAGCTATGCCACTATTATTATGCCATACAGAATGGCATAAATGGAACTATTTCGTGTAGGCACATAATGTTAGAGTGCTCTTTGGAATCAGAAATCATTTACTCTAAAAACCTTTTGTTATCTTTTTCAGACTTTCCTAAGCTGAATGATCAGCATCTACAGTGATGTTTTCAAAGAGTAAAAAGCATTCCATGTATATTTTCACCTTGTGCAATGGAGATTGAAACTCAGTAATTTTTATTCCTAAAAAGACGAATGAATTATACAGGACATACTCGGCTTTCTCCAGTTTTATCTTTCAAAATGGGCAGAACAGAAAATGTGTATAAATTCATATAACTACTGTTCTCTGTTAAGATAAAAAGGCTGATAAGACTCTATAACGAAGGGCAGCTCTCGATTATGTGGGTGGAAAGATTCTTGTAAAATTCCATCAGCTTTCCCCAACGGTAGCGCCAGAGATGACTGGGAATGATGGGATCATATATTAGTTTGTTTAATTTTAACTGTGGATACTAACATGGTGTGTAGAACATACACACGTGTTTCTGCCTATTTACACATCAATACCTTACATATAAAACAGAGAAGTACAGACATTTCAGGATTCTTTTTGACAAGATAATTTTTATTTTAGAATTTTCAGTTTTAGTCTTAAGCTTTCCTTCTGGCTTCTGATGTATTTTCTACCTAGACTGCCTATCTTACTGCAAGCTTAGGATTGTCATTTAAGTATCCTTAATGAATGGAAGTATGTGAGAGAGACTATTATTATATATTAGGTTTCTAGTAGGAATTTGTCATGCAACTGCATTTTATAGTAAAAGATCTCATATGGAATACGACTCTCCCTTATATTTAGATGTAATTATTGTTGTTGTTGTTATTCATCCTAAATATGCTTAGTGTGACTGTGACAAGTGTGTAAACACTTATTATATACCAAAGACTCAGAACTGCTGTTGCTGGCTGCCATGAATAGCCAATTCTACGCAGACAGATTTGTCTCCTCATAATCTGTGATGTAGCCTGTAGCTGGAAGGAAGGACTGTTCAAAATGCGTATTTCCGTTTTACTTTTGCAGCAGCCTGGCCTGTTTATGCAATGCCTAGGATATCAAATGTATTTTCTCGGCCTCACCTCTCAGTCCTCAGGTATCTGTCCTTCTGATGACTCTGTTGCCCCAGCAAAATAACATAGCTGTGCAGACTCTACTCTCTAAAGATACTATCAGGAAATGAAGGTGTGTTTTTGTAGCAAGACAATTATTAGTTTGGCCTCTGGAGGTTCAACGGGTGGACATCACTGTAGCAACAAGTTGTGAGCTAGTTCGGGAAAGCATAAGAGCCATCCTATTCAGACGTATGTAATGTTCATATAATCATGCTTAAGGGGGCTTCGGTTAGGGCTTCCATTTGCATCTAAGGATTGAAATAGAAGATGGATTGTACCACAGGGAAAGCGTACAGCATAGCTTGCAGTCCTAAGCTCTGTGGAGACAGGTGAAATGTTTCTTCTCCCAGCCTTGTCTTGCAATGAAAGCAGTACAGATAGTAGCTAAATAGATCTATAGGAAAAGGGACTAACTAACAATCTGCTACAGGCAGATTTTTTTTAAAAAAACCTACAGCATTACAGATCTATGAAACTTTTTAGCTGTAGGAGAGTGACATGCTGAGGATGTCTTCTGTATTTTGTTTGTATTATTCTTATCCGATTGTTTATCTTTTTTTTAAAAGAGAGCATCCTATCTTTCATTGTATAATTAATACCAGGCCAAGAAATTCTTCTGCATTTTTTCTTGCTAGTTACTTGCTGAGGAAGGAATTTGTTTTAGAAATTATTTCCCAGGAGTATAGAAATTCAAGAAATACTCATGCACTTCTTTAATTATCTGTTATTCATTTATTAATCACATTTATAGACCAACACAGTCCCAAAGGACTCTCAGTGGTTGAGGCTGCCAAAAGGGTATGCCCGAATATCCTGTCTTTAATTGTACAATAATCTCTCCAACCATCTACAGCCTCTTTGAGTACCCAAGTTTCAATTAAACCCCAAGGGAAGATCTTAGCAATCTCTTCCGGTGGCTTTCTCAGTAATAGTATGATCAGAGGGAGTCCTACTTTTGAAAAATAGTTAGAGAATTGTCTTTCCTGTGGAAAAAGTCAGTGCAATCATCCACCCAATTCCTCTGCCCACAAACTTGGTTGATAGGCAGATAAAGTTTATTACAGTCAAGTGGATGATTTCTACCCAGAACTAAAACTAGGGGTGTTTGGGGGTAGGTTTTAAAAAGTCAAGTTGGTGGTGTGACTGTATAATGAAAGGTCCACTCCTTTTGTACATAGATCAAGGGGCAAGGTTTCAATTGCATGGCTGCAACCACCATCTTGAGTTTTTAGACACACCCACAGACCCAGACCCACACATACACACATCCCACAGATGCCACTATGCAGAACTGCAGCCTCCCTGGCTTTCAACATTTTTCTTAAATCCTAAGAAAGGCACACAGGATTTCTTCTCAGGGGCCTTTTCCAGATCGTAAAACAGGGACAGCCGTGGAGGCTGCAGGGTGTTAGAGAGGGATCGAACAGAAACCTCCCACCTCACAACATGTAAGTAGCTGTGAGAAGCAGGTGAGGAAGCTAGACCGGTGTGAGAAGAAGCAGCCCAGCCCAGATTCAGGGACCATGGGAAGGACATGTTTCCAAGAGACTCTGCCTTAATTTACTTGCTATAAAGCTGCCTGGGGACTGACTTTTAGAGTTTTCAAGATGATGCTTTTATCTCTGACTAATGTTAAAGATGCCTTTCTGAATTCTGTGTGGTTCTTGCTTCTTGGATTTATCATAATCAAAGAACCTAAAGCATACTGAAGATGAAGTTAAAAAAAAAGTTGACACCCCATTTGTGGGGGAAGAAAACCTTCAGGAAATGGAACAAAGTATTTTGGGGCATATGTAACCAGTTTCTGAAAGGTCCTGCATATACATTACTCATGGTAATAACTTTTCCCTTTGTTGTCTTAGGAAATAGACAAAAACTTCAGCATGGTTTAAAAAGGAGACTGTCTCCTCTGTAGTAATAGGATCACTATTGGTGTCAGTGCATAAAGAGATAGTTGTAGCAGAGCTTACTTCCCTTGTGCTCTTCGTATGCCTTGTTCTGCAAGCAGAAATTGGTGTACAGCTGAAATTGAGTCCAATGCAGTAGATGGAACTGTTTTAGAATGCTGAGAAATACAAGAATTTCCCCCCAAATTTGTCTAGGATATACCACTTATAGATTTCCTTCTCCTATTGCCCATTTTATGTATTTTCCTACCTTCTTTGAGGAGAGGTATTGGATATTGTTCTCTTCAGCATTTAAGGCAGGGTTCCTCAACCTTGGCAACTTTAAGACAGGTGGACTTCAACTCCCAGAATTTCCCAGCCAGCAAAGCCGGCCAAGGGAATCCTGGAGTTGAAATCCCCCCGTCTTTAAGTTTCCAAAGTTTGGGGACCCCCATTTTAAAAATATGTCAAAG